CCTAAAATATACATATGTCTTTAATATACATATTTCAATTTCACTTTGAAAGAATTTACTTTTATCCTTATTAATTTTCAGACCATGTTCTTGACATCTTTCAAAAATTTTTGTAATCGAAAATAATGAGTTTCGTTATCGGGAGCTGCTATGCGTGCGTCATCAAAAAATATTTCAACTCCTTCAAGACCATGGAATACATTTTCGATGTATTTTTGCGAAATGGCCGGAGCCGCATTAATTCCGTACACTAATCTTTTTGGAGTATAAAGACCTTTTTCTGTATTAATGGTTAGGAGTTTCTGACTTTCCTTTTCAACCTTCATTTGCAAATAAGCTTGGCTAAAATCAACTTTAGAAAATACCCTGCCATCACTAAGTGAGGCAAAAAATATCTTCAGTTCGAGGAAGCGGGTGTTTTTGTACCTTTAAGTGTTTGTTTATTGTTACTGAGTAATCAGCACATAGCCTGATCGATCCGTTGTGTCTAACAATCGGAACTATGGGCGTGGCCCATTCCGATATGTTTATTTTTTCGATTAATCCTTCCCTTTCGAGTCTTTCGATTTCCTGATTGACTCTCTGTTTTAGCGCGAAGGGAACTTGCCGGGGACGGCAAAAAATGGGTTTGGTATCTTCCCTTAACTCAAGTTTACATTCATAATTTTTAATTTCCCCTAATTAATCATGTTTAAAGTCTTTTAAAAGTTTAGACAAATCGAAATTAACCTTAGTATTAACAGTATTAATTGTTTTAATGGTATTCCAATTTAATGGAATTTCATAAAGCCATTCTCTACCAAAAATACACTGGTGTGCAAAATTTAAGCAACAAGTGATTTTTCGGCCACAGCTCCCCAACAAAGTATAAGATAGCCATAAAATTGCAGTATAATATGCACGTAATTCAGTAGAAAGATTATTTGTATGCAAATTTTAGAAATAAAACGTCGTAGGTGATGTAAGTGTACGTAAACCTTGTGGGTCGGCGCGCGCAGGTCAAAGCTGTGATAAAAGGATGAAGAGCACCGTAGTTAAAGACATTCGCTGCAAGTGCAAGTGATTTGTTTTGTGAAACATGTCTTCAAGAAATCATTTAGACGACTTTACTCGAGGAAGAATGATTGGGAAGCTTGAGGAGGGGCGTAGTGTGACCAGTGTCGCCGAAGAGTTCGGGATCAACAAAAGTGTTGTTTCTCGTGCTTGGAATGCCTTTAAAACTACTGGTACAGCTGTTCGGAAGGTTGGTGGTGGCCGTCCAAGGAAAACAACACCAAGAGATGACCGTTACATTGTCCTCCAGGCGAAAAGAAACCGTTTTCAGTCAGCGAGCGCCATATCTCAGCAACTGTGCACAGCCACAGGACGACAAGTATCAAGATTTACAGTGGCCAGACGCCTCCACAAAGGTGGCTTATTTGCTAGACGTTCTGAACGCTGCATACCTTTAAAAATTAGCCATCGGCGGCACCGTTTAGAGTGGTGCAGAGAACACGAAACCTGGACACCTCATCAATGTAGTCGCGTCCTCTTCACAAATGAGAGTCGTTTTAGTGCTACAATCGATTCTCAACGTTAGTTGATTTGGAGAGAGGTTGGAGCTCGATTTCATCCCAATAACATCGCGGAAAGAGATCGTTACGGTGGTCCTGGAGTTGTCGTCTGGGGTGGCATTATGTTGAACGGGCGGACTGAGCTTCAGATCTTCGACCGAGGTTCTGTAACTGAAGAACGCTACTGCAATGAGATAATCCTACCCCATGTGCGCCTGTTCCGAGGGGCCATTGAACCAGACTTCATTTTTATGGATGACAATTCCCTGCCACACCGTACTGCTAATGTTCAAGAGCTACTGGAAAGTGAAGATATCACACGAATGGATTGGCCAGCATACTCTCAAGATCTAAATCTTATAGAGCATGTGTGGGATGCATTAGGGAGACGTCTTGCGACACGACAGTATCCTCCTGGTAGCACCCATCAGCTGAAAGATGCGTTAAAGGAGGAATGGAGACGTTTACCCCAAGAACTCCTGGATAATCTGGTGCTTAGCATGGAGAGACGATGCCAAGCAACAATTACAGTAAGGGGAGGGCATATCCCATACTAGGGAACATCTGCCAGTTGTACTTACGCTTCTTCAGGCAATCATGTGTAACGCCACTATATGTCAAATAAAGCCTTTTTTTGTTCCATACCCAACTTTAAGCTTTATATTCATTTTTGCGCAATTATTCTTTTACCATCGTTTAAGTACAAAATAATGTACATCATATTCAAATTTCATGTCAATCGGATGATTGCTTGTAGAGTTATGACAAAAAACGCACTTGTTGCTTGAGTTTTGCACACCAGTGTAGTATCTAAATTCTCTTTAGCTAGATATAAATTTAAGTTATATGATAAATTATTATAATCAACTTTAACAGAAACATATCCAAGCGGTACGACCTCATCTCCCTTATAGGTTTTGAAAATCAGTTTAGTAGGTTTTATCTTTTATTAGAGATTTTTCGAAACCTATTGATGCTCATAACCGATACTGTTCCTCCAGTGTCGACCTCCATTTGAACTGGAGAATTTTCTATATTTACTTTAATCATTATTGGTGGTCTTTTAGGGAATTCCTCGCTAAATGATTTGTCATTTAATGGGTGTAACGGTTCGGATATAGTATTTTCTCATGAATATCCGGATTCAATGTCAATTTGTTTCTGGTTAACATGTTTATATTGTTTTGCTCTAGCGGCAGAAAAACACGCTTTTGTTAGATGTCCAACTTTACGGCAGTAGTTGCACGTTGCAGATTTGTATTTACATTCCCTTGAGGAATGATTAGATCCCTTACACCGATAACATGCAAAGTTAATTTTTTCTTTCGTTTTGTTAGACCAGAATTGTTTCGGTTCTTTTTTCCTGTTAGCCTTAAATTCTTTAAACGATTATAAAAATATTGAACTAACCACTTGAAATTTAGAAAGATATAAATCTGTATTCATTTCCTTGCTATACAATTCATGTTATTTTCCTAATAAAGCGGTCACTAAACCTTAAGAAGGTTGGTAATTTATAGATACCTGTGACCACTGAGTACAAAGGGTCATAATATCTTGTTTAATTGAAACACAGACGATAAATTCCTAATTCTCCTATAACCATTTAATATTTAATACGATACTACGATCACTGATAATAATACCAAAATTCTAATTCCAATATTGTCTGCATAATTATTTTCTTCAGCCGCTCGAGACGGTACTAACCAATCCATTTGTGAATATTCACTTATTATCGAAGTTATCTCGTCCAATAAGTACATAATACCATATAAAATCTCGGGAATTTTTTTTAAAAAAAATACTGAACTATTAAATAAGTAATCAAAATGTAGATGAAAGATTGAATCAGTTCCCTGACACGGAGTTTTTGGAACCCACTCCAAACTTGTTCTGACAATGCCATTCGAATTTAAAACACTTAATCGGTTTTCATTTCAAAAGAGTGGTTTTCATTCCTTCTCTTTTTGTTATAAATAAACGATTTTGTATCGAATTCAATTGCTTTGAAAACAAACTCTTCATTTTAATTCATAATATTTTTCAACGGTGCACTGAAAGTTCAAATGCAAACGTTAGTCTTCTTGTAGAATGCATTAATTAATTTGAATGTATGCTATTTTAATAATCTTTTAAAAAAAAGTCTATTGCTATGACTTAGGGTTAATAATAACAAGTTTAAATATTGAGTACTCCATCTACTGTTACTTAATCAACTGTTAGAATTCTTTAATTAATCTATTTCTAGTAACATAGATAATTGTATTAAAAAAAAATTTAGAATATTTTAAGGCATTAATTTTTTTAAATTTTTCATACTTTCTAAAATTGCCTATAATAAGAAAAATTTTTAAATATATTAACCTTTTGACAAAATTAATTTAATTTGGCGATTAAATACACTATTAAACAAAGATGAATAGATACACTGTTAAAGTAACCCACATTTATTTCAAAAAGATTAATGTTAACATATCTCATGTTGATCACACTACTATAAGTTGACTCTATCCTTTTGGAGATAAATGTTCGTTTAAGCTTTTTACCGGTTATTTAAAAAAATCAAAATTGAATATTAAAGATGTAATAAAAATTTTCCTTAACTCTTTGAAGCAAAATTTTCATTAAGCATATTTTCATACTTTTTTGTATTATTTTAGGTCAAAATAAGTATATAACCGTTTAATAATTAATAGTTATGAAATGCAGCATAGGACACCGGTGCCACTGTCTGCTTTAAAGGTAAAATCTTCCAAACATGGCTCACTGGCAAATAATAGCTTTTCAAATTTTCACTTATTAGACATTATTTAAATCGAAAAGAAGCAGTTATTCGTCATTAAAATTCATTTAATTTACGAAATCAATTCTTGATAAAGTTCTGAGTAGGAATGAAAAATTTATTATAAGCTACTTCTTTTGGATTTTATATTTTAGTACAAGTATAATTCGAATTATCTAACATATTTTTTTAATAACTATTAAACTGTTTTTCATAATTAATAAGTACCAAAATATATTTTTACTTTTAATTAAAGAATTAGGAATAATATAAAAGGGACAACGGTACCCAAATTGTTAATAGCACAATAATCTAAAATATCAACTAAAAAACAGATTAGCAATGTACTTTTCCATTATTAAAACGTTGTTGTTTAATTTTCTGCTGAATAATTCAGTTTATTGTCATGTGTACTGTCCCATAGCGTGGGGTTTTAGGAAATAACACTCTTATATTTAACAAGCTCTATTTATTAATTAATTACAACATTTAGAATTTAGAATACAAAAGATGCGTCCTAACGCAACGCTTACAGATGAGGAATCTAAACTGAAACTTTTAGAGAGGGTAAGTCCCAATTCGTTTGCGTAGGCGTGATAGTTCGTAAACATAGCCTCGAACGCCTAAATACACGACATCTCCTTCCCCTTTAAAATGGAGATTTAAAGGTCAAGTCTCTTAGGGGGCCGTCTAATCGTTTGTGATCGCCTCGGCTGAAATGGAGTTTGTTGAGAAGTTGAAGATGGAGTACTTTTCGGCAAAACAGATGAACTCGGTTTCTTAGTTGGAGGTGGTTGGCGAGTTTCTGGTGTTAATTTGACAGATCCAGAGTGTTTTTGGATATCTCCCCCAGGATCAGTGGATTCAGGAGAATTATCAGTAGTGCCGATGTGTGAGGTCTCACTGCTGAAACTAACTCGTGGAACGTGAATAGTCTTATCCAAGATCTGGTCTCCTGTTGGTCGCATTTGGTCTACGTGGCGTCTATACAATGTACCTTGCACATTAACTGTGTAGTGAAGAGCTCCATCTTTGCTCATGACAGTTCCAAATTTCCTCCTTGCGTTGGGTGACCGATAGTCTCGTACAGCCACCTTATAACCTTCGTAAAAAATGCGATCTTGAAAAGCATACGTGCTTTTCCTGATCTTCTCATTGACTCTTCCGACCAAGTCAGGGAGAACAAGATCTATTCTAGTCCTAATGTCTCTCTTAAGGAAGAGCATAGCCGGACTAATCATAGTTGTCATATTAGGAGCCTTGCGATATTGCATGAGGAAGGTGCTAACCTTTTGCTGGATATTCCCAGCAAAGTTCTGCATGGCACGGAGAGATTGCTTTAATGTATGCACGTAGCGCTCTGCTTGTCCATTGCTGGATGGTTTGAAAGGGGCGCATGTCTTATGCTTAATGCCATTGCTTCGTATAAATGTTTGGAACTCTTGTGAAGTAAACTGTGTGCCGTTGTCGGAAACTAACACTACAGGTAGTCCAAAACGTGAAAAGCAATCTCGGAGGCATTCAATTGTCTTGAATGAGTTGGCTGTCTTCATGGGGTAAACTTCAAGCCATTTTGAATGTGCGTCAACAATAAGTAGAAACATCCGTTCAAATATAGGTCCTGCGAAATCAATGTGCACTCTTTCCCATGGTGCACTGGGATATTCCCAATGATGAACTTTTGCTTTTGCTGGCTCCGTTTTGAACCTAGCACAGTCCAAACAGTTTTTCGCAGAATTTTCTATGTCTTGGTCAATGTCTTGCCAATACACGTAAGATCTGGCAATTGCTTTCATTTTTACTACACCAAGATGCCCATGATACAACTCGTCTAATATTTTTGCTTTGTAGCAGTCACACTCGTTGCCCATACATAATACACCCATCCTGTAAGGTATATTTTTCCTTCCCCTCTAATTGGCCTCCATATTGTAATATTTTTAAAAGTTTCCCCAAGTGTTCATCGAACTGCGTGGCTTTTGCTTAATCTTTGGCAGTAACGGGTAAGGTTTCAATTTGGGAAATTTGGTATACTGCAATATCATCTTTTAATTCCAGTTCTTCAGATTTCAATGGTAGACGTGATAAGCAGTCAGCATTGCCGTGGTCCTTTGTATTGCGATAAACGATATCAAAATTATAAGCTTGCAGAACAAGAGCATAATGCAAAAGTCTTGTCGCAGAAAGGACTGGGAGACCCTTTTTACATGAAAAGATGGAAACCAGGGGCTTGTGGTCAGTAATCAAAGTGAATCTATTTCCCTTTAAGTAGAGGTAAAACTTTTTAACACTCCAAACGATTGCCAAAGCTTCTTTGTCAATTTGAGAGTAACGTTGCTCCGTTGGAGATAGAGTTCTGGAGGCAAATGCTATGGGCCGTTCTGAACCACCTGGGAATTTATGGGAAAGTACTGCTCCCAATCCTACAGGTGAAGCATCAGAAGATAGCAAGATAGGAAGGTTTGGATCATAATGTGTTAGTATTTTGTCAGAGCAAATTTCGTTTTTCACATTTTCGAAAGCTTCCTGACAAGTGCGATCCCATTTCCAAGTAACAGTTTTCTTGGTTAAGTTGTATAAAGGATAGGCCAAAACTGCTAAGTCCTTAGAAAACCTTGAATAAAAATTCACGAGACCCATAAATGACTGAACGTCTTGAACATTTCGTGGTTCCTTAGCATTTTTAATTGCAGCTATTAGTAGTATATGGAGCACTATAGAACCGGAAGTGACGTCATCAAGGGAGCGTCATGAAAACCTTATTTCTGCCTCACCGGAAGTGTAATCTTTTTGTCGGTGGCAACACCTGACAGGATGTGCTTATTTCTGCCCGCCTCATAACCGGAAGTTGTAATATATTGTGTGGTGGCAACTTTTCTTTTTAGTTTCGTTTTTTCATTTTGTGATAATTTTAACTATTTTCGTGATTATTTTTTTTTGCTTATTTCTGCCCTCATGAATATTCAGATATAGTTTTGGTTTTCATTTTATTATTACATTTTAGCTGTGGCAACGATTATTTTTAGTTTAAATTTATTTTTCTGTTTAAAAGTTATATTAAATGATTAATTAAAGGTTATATCCAATCACTAATTAGTCATGATGTTTAATTACTCAGGTCTCGTGGTGCCATCTATCGATCTTTTCCGATGATATTTAAGGAATTAGATTATTTTAATTGTTTAGATTTTTAACAAAATGAATGTTCAAGGTTCGAACTCGCCACCTCAAAATGTCTCCGCGGGATGATTGTTTCTAGCACGCTAACAACAATCCCACGGAGACATACCGATAGGTTGAAAATTTGAACTATGTTTTAAATGATTGGCATAATTATGCACATCTCTCTAAAAGATATCTAGATAAACATAAAAAACTTCAAAATAACACGTGTTGATATCCTCCGATATTGCAAGTCCACGCAGCCCCAGCATGCTGACCCACGCCCGAAAACAAGTTGCACTAGTAAGATACCCACTGAAAAGGAGAAGCATAACGAGAAGAAGCGAAGTGGGCAGGATTGAGGGGTTGCTGGAACCCCTGTGGATCAAATGGTTCGATCTTCAGTTGCTTTGACTTGTTCATAAGTGTAGTTGTGCGGAGTAGTGTTTCGTGATAATATTCGTGTACAAGTGTTAATGTTTTTCGTTACTTATAGTTTTATTTTATAAAGATAGTTATTAACAGAATTTATTTTATTGTTAACTCTCAATAGTATTTATTATATCGTTAGCATTACCGGTTCCAACGTATGTTATGAAGTAGTGACGTCATCTTTTATTACATAATAAATAGTAGCACCATCTAAGTGGGAATGTTAGAAATAAAATAACTTTAAATCTATTTTAATATTTAAATCTGTTTTATGATTTATTAAGTGTAATTAAGGGTTCTTAATATAGAAGAGAAAAAATTCTTGCTTTAATACAATACGGAAAACTATTTTATACTTATATAGGCATTACTATTTAATTTTATTAAAATTATTGCATACCATTATTTTTAACAATGTTTATGAGTGTTAATTTTTCGTAATAATAAATTCAACGTAATTCATAAATTTTCCGTATAATTAAGATTGTGACAACATGTTCTGAACTAAATAAAAATAATGCATTTAATGTTTATTTTTAGTGATTCTACATGCAGTAATATATATGGGTGATTCTTCTTAAACATGATAATTCGGACCGAAAAATTTCTTCAAATTTAAAGTCTTCAAAATAGTTTAAAATTTCTTTTTGTATACTTCTTTAGTTACACTTATTAATATCTTACAGACAGCAATGTAGAAAAAAATATAATAGAAATTCATCAATTTTTGAATGCCAGGAAAATGAGATATTAGCTTAGAAGTTTAAAAAACAGTCATTTTAAGTTAATAGTAAGTAACTCAACTTAAGCCATTATGTTAGATAATAATCAATCATTAAATAAATAATTTTGATTACATCCAAGCATATTACAATCATACATAAACTTGGTATTAGGTTAATATTTGCTTTCCCTCCTTACAGTATTAGCAATTTAAAAAAAAATTCTGGTAGCACTTCAATGTCCTGGAATTCATAAGCCAGGATAATGACAAGTTCGCCATTTTATAGCTGATAACTTTACAATAATATTTTTGCCTAAAACGTTTATATTCTGCAGAAAACAATAGGATTTCTTAAAATAACTCAGGTAAATCTATGTAGTTTATGTTATTAATGATTTCAAGAAGTGAGGAAAATGAAAAACACAAGAGCCTACTCACCTTGAAAAATTGCTTGAAAAACATTTTGAACCAGAAAATTGGTTCTTTATTCATGCAATAAGACATGTTCATATAGGAAGGCACCTAATCAATCTATTAACATAAAATATTGATTGCTGGCTCTATCTATTTTGGTTATAAACCACTAAATAAAAGTAGCCAGAAAAATGACAGATTTTCTTGGGACAAACAAATTATTAACGGAAAATATTAATTTAAACGAAGTTTTTGTAAAGAATATCGTCTGCGTATATTCTTGAAATGCTTACACCGAAATAAAAAAAATTGATATTGAAAAATTTATGTGATAAAAAAAATTGATATTGAAAAATTTATGTGAAGTTTTGAAGCTAGCTATTATTGGAAACATTGTTTGTGGCATGCCAGAAACATGAAATTAAAGTGAAACATGAAATTAAGTGAAGTAACATGAATTAAGTTCAATTAAATTTCGTAACTATACAAAACAGTATATGCTAGTGCAAAGTCTGCTAATGTTAGCAAAAATGCTAGCAGCAATGCTATTTTTTTTTAAATGTTCTTTTAGTATTATAGTATTAGATCTTGGAGAAAGGGACAGCGAATTGTCATATTTTGTGAGAATCACCCATATATATACAGATATATCATAACCCTGCTTAACTCTAATATATATGTGTTTGCGTGCGTGTGTGTGTGTTTGTGTGTGTGTGTTAAAGTCAACAAATTAAAAAGAATTAATTGCTTCTCTGATATTTAAATTTAATTTAGTGATATTTAAATTTAATTATTACAAAGACTAACTAAAAATGAAATGGAACATGGAAGTAAAAGCTATAAAATTATAAATTGTAATTTCTCTAGAACTTAAATGCCAAGGAATAATTTCTAAATGCTGGTTAACTATTGTACATTGCTTTCTATATATTAGAGATACTTTAATAAACGAGTTTATTTTTTATATTATTCCAATCCATATGCCAATTTTTATATTATTCCAATCCAAAACTGGAGAGTTTCAGACCAAGAGACTTTGAGCGACCACAGGTTGATCTTGATGGAATTAGGGGACGAGGTATATCAAGGACCAAAGAAAATAAATTATCATCATTTAGATCTTTTCAAGTTTTCCTGCAG